CCGATCACAGCGCGATGTTTTCGTCGCACTGTGATAACGTCACGTACGCGCTTTCATCGAGCGCGCTTTTGTCTACCGCGGTTTTGTGGTGGAACCGACTAATCTGTCATATCATTTAGGATTGAGCAATATTTGGGGACAATTCTTTGCAGATTGGGATTTATTGCTCCATGAAGCTTTTAGCTGTGGCTCAGATAAGGCTAAGGAAAAGAGTTACTGTTTCCCCCTTGCCTTTTTTATCCATTCAATTTATCCCAGGAGTCATCCACATGTGGTAATTTGTAAGGCAAAATCTATCAATTCTTCATTTCACTGGCTCCATCTCAATCGTATTACAGTCCTGATAATATATCAGAAATCAGTCCACGTTTGTTCAAGATACAATTATTTGGGAGTAATCTCCTGTCTTCTGAGTGAGTTTTCCCGTGGTATAAGCACGTACAATTTGTTCTCTTAGCCTTGCATTCTTCTTAACAGCAAGAATGCTACCTCGGTAACAATTGGATATTTAAAACAAGAGAGCATCCAGAAAATTGGTGGAATCAGCTGGTGATAAAACACTGCCTTTCTGTCGCTCATTTGCATAGCAAATCTCTTTGTTCATAGGCTTAGTTAATTTGGGAAAGGAAAGTTAGCATCTCCATGCAGAAATGGATGGAGTTGTAGCCACTTAACAACCACCATAAGCATTGTCATAATTGGGTCTGACTTGACTTACAACTGCAATGTATTACGGTGGACATTCCAGTTCCAATTGTCATAAGTCAAGGACTATACCTGTAATACATATCACTGAGACCCACAATTGCGTCTCTTATTGGACATGGTTCATTAGAAGTACTGACTTGCAAGACATTTTTAGATTACTTAACATCTCCTTATGGCTTATGGCTCTGTTAAGAGTTAAGATCTAGAGAAGAAGGGAATTTATTTTCAAGGTAGGGTTGCTTGCTTGCTAACCAACCATGAAACGGGGTTTCAGTCCATGTGAAGACAGAAGTCTAAAAACTGCTTAGGCTCCAAGGAGATGACCTAGGTGAGGCCGGTAACATGGTTATCTCTGCCACTAGAGTGTGTTTCATTATTCATAGCACTTGCTTTAATTGAGTCACTTGAGTCATTGTAATTCCTGCATCTCCCTGTGTGTGCTGGTTTCAGAGATATGTGGAGATTCAACCCACATTGTAGGAGGACAATAGATTTCTCTGTGGAAAAAGGAATGCCTTGATCTTTGAGGCAAGAATGGAATCTTATAATGTGATGGAAGCTGACAACAGGTTATTGTTCCCTAAGTTGTATGATTGCAGTTAAATCAGTTCTGCTCCGGTTCATAAGGTTAGGATTTACTTCTTTTCTCTGATGGAAAGCTAGTTTAGGATGTACATACAGTATATGGTGAATTTTTTAGATTTAGATTTTATTTAGCATTTATAGGCCGCCCTTTTCCCTGAGGGGACTCAGGGCGGCTTACAATAGTAAG